AGTCTGCTCTAGACCGTTTGAGCCACCTCCTAGTGTTCTCTTCTCCACTATTTGAGATTCTGGAGGAGCTGGCACCTTTGAAGTTGAACACCTTCCATGGATAAGATAGTCTGGGTAATGCCACCCTTGGGAGACCTTTCCAGGATACCCTCCCCTCCATCTTTGAAGAAAAAAAGAACTTTTCCAAAGAAAAGGAGCCTTCCTTTTAAACGCCTTCCATGATTTTCTGAAGTTCAGGAAATTTGACGAGAGCAATATGAATGACTGCTTTTTTTCCCCCAAGTGTGCGCAAGGTTTTTGTTGTTGTGACAAGCCACCAAAAAGACAGCTTCCCTTATTGGCTGGAGGCTTATGGAGGTTGTGATCCAAACCCCGAAACATTTTACAGCTCTTAGCTTGCCCTGCCTTACAGCCACCAGAAATGATGGTTCACTGGAATTCTTCCGCTTTTATTATTCTGTGTCTACAGTAGCATGAAGAGCATGCAGCTTTGAGCATCTTCAGGAATGGTTTTACAGCCTGCAGTGGAACTTTTAAAAGCTTGCCGTTTGAAGGGTTGTTCCAAGAAAAGGGAAACCTCTTTACTCCCATCGCCGGAGAGAATCGCTCAGGAAAGTTAACTTGCTTTGAACTACCATTCCTAGAAGTTGTGGCCGTCCTGGCCGAGGGGCTTTTGAAAAATGTAGCCCGCAAAAAATTAATTTATTTTGTGATCTAATCAAGGCGTCACCTACTCCTTCGTTTGCAAAAATTAACTTGCTCAAGTTCCGATGTCAGTGGCTGGGGTCTGATTCAGTGGCACTTTATGTGGTAGATGATCATGCCTCCGTATCTTTGAGCTGCGTAGGTTGGTTAGAGTACGCATGTTGGAAACAGACCCGCAATGATATCACGTAGATTCTACACAAAGCAAAAAGTGAATTATTTGCCTTGAATCACTCTTTGAAATAACGTGGCACATAATTTATTTTCTTTGATGAGCGGAATAAACAAGCAAAGAATAGGAAGGCTGTTAAGAAAAAGGGGGTAGGCGGGCTTGGTTGGTTCATTTGAGCAAATTGATCATTGATGAATCATAGTAATTGCATACCTTTCCCTACACGCAAGTAGCATTGACGGAGAAGAGCAAACTTTGATTGATGGCTGATCTCTAGTATAGGGCATAGTGCGCCACCGGACTCCATATGAAATTGAAATAGGGTTAAAAGAGGCATACATTTTTTCTTACTTCTGCTCCACCCCAAAAGATGATCCTTCGCAGGGTTGGGACTGCTGATGATGAGGTGGGATGGCTTCCTGATGGCACGGCACCCCCCTTATTGGTGTCAGAGAGGAGAGCGAGCACACTGCATGGCCATAATCTAGTGCCAGAGCTGTTCATTTCGGAAAAACTACCCAGAGGAACCTCTCCGGCTCTTGCACACACACCCCCGTTAATTAGTGAGAAAACAACTTCCTCTTGAGAATCCTGCTCATAGAATACCGTCATGTTCACCTACGCATTTCGCTGAACAAATAACAGAATCCTAGGATGTACGGTTTAAGATTATTGGCACAGGAGTTTATATTTCTAATGCTTCCACTGTTTTTAAAAATAGTATTCATAAAATGAGAAAGCTCATCAGGAAGGAAAGTTGGTGTCACCTTTTGCCTGACATGCTAATTTGCTGTTGGGAGATAATTTAGCTTGCTTTGGTTAACATTGGGGAACAATGAACAGCATTATTAACCCTTCCTTCCTCAGCAGTTGTCCAGTTTCCTATTTCCATGCAGTTCAGCCTGACCTGACATGGTGTCCCTCCCGTTAACTGTAGTTTCCATCACCCTGATAGCTGTGCTATGGAATTATGGGAGTTGTAGTTGAGTGCATTGGGATGATGTAGAAAAACTGATCTAGCCCCCACACTGCCGTTTTGTGTATTTTGTGGAAAGCAGCAGCATTACTCCACTGGCAATGTAAAAGGTAAAGGTTCCCCTTGACAATTTGTCCAGACATGTCCGACTCGAAAACTGCAGTCCTTCATGTACAAAATCCCCCGAGCCAGGCCCATTTGGGGTTTCAGTGGAGTGAGAGGGAGCAGACTTTGGGAGATTAGGAACTGTTCTTTTGAACTCAGCGCTAGATGGGATCTAGTTTCTCGAAGATTTATCCTCAGAGCCTGTCTGGCAGCATCTTAATTTCACGGTTTTCCTCCGTTCCGTAACGGATGGCAGTCTGTGTTTGCAATTTTGCTGTTATATTTGGTTCCCACATATTATGTTTTGGAAAAGAAAGAAAATACAAGGGGGGGGGGGGAAACGCCCGTAGCTGAACAAGAAGGTTTAGAAAGGGACTCGTTGTGCGAATTGTACAGACGGCTCCACAGGGCAAAATAATTCGCCCACATGTCTGTCACCAAAGTTACGCTGAGATACGACTTCCAATTTCTTGGATGGTCATGGCCCACTCAACCACCACAGGGCTTTGGATTTGTTCCTTCCTTGTTCCAAAGCTTTGCAGTCTTTGTCTCATTCATCTTCTCAAAAACTTTGGGTGCAATTCGATGGGATCCTTCGGAGCAATCCAGGTCCTGTTTAAAAGGCTCTTATCTTCAGAGTGATCTATTTTATCTTACCTTTCCATTCACATGGGAGACATTGCTTCTCCCGTGAGAAGGATCCAGACAGCACTTCAGTTTACATCAGTTCCTTCCCTTTTTGATTATTGACACTCTTACTCTTTCTCCACCTTATGGAGTAGCTGTCATTTCATGGGCTGCAGTGGCTCCCCTTTGTTCGTTTTAGCAAGTGGTATAGCGCTGTACCAGCATATCAACCTAGAATGGATATTCCTTTATATCCAAAAAAAGAATCCGGAACTCAGGGAAACAATTTTTAATGGGCTTCCCTCCAGAATAATGCAAAATGAGAAAAGGATTGTGCCTTGTTACATAAAATTGTGGGTGCACACTCCCAGCAGCCTGGAAGTATATTCTGCTGTCGGATTAAACCGTCTTAATTGTTTGCTTACATTTCCATAGTTTTGCTCTAACTTCGAAGGCATTACTTTTTCTCCTGTTGATCCTCAAATACAGATCCTGAGCCTGTGTCAGAAGAAAACTGTCAGAAAGTTTACTTACTTTTTTTAGTTATTTGGATTACATTTCCCCCAAACTGAAGGAAGGAACGGTGAGATCTTCTGCCTGCAATCTAAAGTGGTATAGCCTAGGCTGGGACTTGGCTGGGCTGTGCCATGCTACTTTAGACTGCAGGGGAAAACTTGGTTTAGAGTATTCCCTGCATTATACACAGTGTCAGCCATAATATTTTAAACGAGAATTAAGGGTGTGAGTCAGGCAAAGGAAACCGTAGCCTCGTGGTTGTTGGTTTGTTTTTTCAATGTGAGCAATAAAAGTCTGAGTTGTGTAATTCCTTGTTTGGGTCACTAAAGCGAACAAGATTTAACAAGCAAAGTAGGAATTCGTGGCCTCCAGAACTTAACGGTTGAGCATCAGTCTTATAAAATTTGAGGCACTGCGGGAGCAGCACAAGGAGCCAAAATTTGCCTCGACACAGTAGCTGTTGATTCTGAAAGCAGACGGCAAGACTTACAGGTTGCAAGCTCCTGTGTGAAACCGAGTTAACAGAGTCTGGTCAGATGGATCTCGGCTCGGTTTGGCTTAGAGCAAGTAATGAAGGGACCCGGTCCTCTGTTCTTGTGCAGCGAAATCGAGAAAGCTTTCAGAGAGAGATTCTCTGGAATTTTCATCTCAGCTCCCATGTTTAGGGTGGAGAAGGGCGGCCGGGGGGAATTCAAGCCAGAGTCCGAATTTGGTGGGGGGGCGCTTTGTGCTTATTTTTCTTTTTGTTGTCACTTGAGGTTAAAGTCATGGTGTTTCTCTCCTACCTTGCTAAATGCTGCTGCTGCAGCTGCTCCTTTTTGGTGTTGTTTAGTTGTTAAGTTGTGTCCGACTCTTTGTGACCCTATGGACCAGAGCCCACCAGGCCCTCCTGTCTTCCACTGCCTCCCAGAGTTGTGTCAAATTCATGTTGGTTGCTTCGATGACACTGTCCAGCCATCTCATCCTCGGTCGTCCCCTTCTCCTCTTGCCTTCACTCTTTCCCAACATCAGGGCCTTTTCCAGGGAGTCTTCTCTTCTCATGAGATGGCCAAAGTACTGGAGCCTCAGCTTCAGGATCTGTCCCTAAAGTGAGCATTCAGGGTTGATTTCCTTTAGAACTGATAGGTTTGTTCTCCTTGCAGTCCAGGGGACTCTCAAGAGCCTCCTCCAGCACCACAATTCAAAAGCATCAATTCTTTGGTGGTCAGCCTTCTTTATGGTCCAGCTCTCGCTTCCATACATCACTGCAGGAAAAACCACAGCTTTGACTATGCGGACCTTTGTTGGCAGGGTGATGTCTCTACTTTTTAAGATGCTGCAGCTGCTCGTACAAATAATAATCATAGTTTATATTATTCCAAAAACAAATCAGACCCTGACTTGAGAAGGAGCAGGCATGCTGATGGAATCATTTTCTGCTCTGTCTGAAAAAAACAGTTCTCAGACTTCTGCCACACAAGAAGTGTGACTGAAAAAACCTATGTCCTTCTGGGGCTGGCGGGTTCTCCGGAAGTTGCTTGGACCTCAACTGCAGCTCCATGCCAGAAGCCCGAGCCATCATAATGAGTGGTCAGAGATCATGGGAGTTGTAGTCCAGCAAGATCTGAAGGATTTAAACTGGCTCCTTGGCTGATGGTCATTTTTGGTGCTGCCCAAAGCAGAATTCACATTTTGAAACCCTCCAAAAGCATTGTTCAGCTAAATAGATAGCAGAACGGTTTATGGTTGGAAAAAAAAATAACATCCTTCACCACAGCCAGTTCAAGTCTGTGCAAAGCTAATTCTAGCCTGGTTGGTTTCTGAGACTAACCGCTTGTGGCGATTTACCCTCAGGATGTTTGCTTCCATCTTTATTATTTTTTTAATGCTGTGTTTGTTTCCCTGTCTCTTTTCTTGTAGGATATGCGAAAACATGTTATCATGACCCTCTTGGACACCGAGCAGTCGTACGTCGAGTCTCTCCGGACCTTGATGCAGGTAAACAATCGCTGTGGAAACAAAAGATGAGAAGGGAGAAAAATCTACTGCTTTGGTTGGGTTTTCTGCTCAGCTCTAAATGCACGGCACAAATCTCTCGCAGAGTTGATGTCCCAGGTGTGCCATCCCTATTTTTTTTTAAACAGGAAAATCTGTGCACAACACAAGCTAAATCTATGTGCATCCAGATGCCCTTTAAAAATGCATTTGGCCACGGGCAGAGAGCAGGGAGCTGCTTCTTAATTGTTCTCATCATGTGCCATCAAGACAATTCGGACTTACAGTAAAGCTTTTCAGGATTTTCCAGGTACAGTGGTGCCTCGCTTAATGATCGCTCCATTGAGTGACAAAATTGCTTAGCGACGCTGTTTTTGCGATCGCAAAAGCGATAGCTTTGCGATGTTGCCTAAGTGGAAGTCATCATCACAAAGCCCCCATTTTCGGCCAGCTGATTGGCGGTTCCAAAATGGCCACCGGGGAAAAAAACGGCCGCCTGCTGTTTTGCCTCGCTTTAAAAAATGGCCGCCGCAATGGGGGATTTTCGCATAAGGTTAGTTTTTAAGCCCATAGGAACACATTAAACACGTTTTAATGCGTTTCTATGGGCTTTTTAAAATCGCTTAGCGATGTTATCGCTTTGCAGTGATTTTTGCTGCACGGATTAACATCGCTAAGCGAGGCACCACTGTCCTCAGAAATGTTTGATCCTTTCTTATAGGACTGTGTGCAGCTGGCCCAAGGCCACCCAGGCTGGCTCTTCTCCCAGAGAGGCACAGTGGGAGAATCAAACCCACAACCTCTGGCTCCACAGTCAGATACTTAAACCACTGAGCTATCCAGACTGCTGGGGTTCTTCTTATGGTGTCTTGAAACTGCCATTATATATTCACCCAAGATTTAAAAAACTTAGTCACGATCTTTCTATTCAAGCAGACAAAGATTTTGGTTTGGCCAGTGAATGTGGTCTAGTTGATCAGTATTTGTGTATTCCAGATAAGTTCTGAGTGTTACTGTATTCTACTTTCTGATCTCTTGGGATGCGCCTTTCTTGTCATCCCACCCTTATATTTTATGTATTCATCATTTTCCAAGACATGCCGTTTCTTCATGCATGCCTGCGTTAAACACCATCAAATTGCAGAATACAACTCACAAAATACATCGGCACACCTACAGAAACATGTTGTCCAGTTCTCACATTTCAAAAGATGAACCTAAGCCCATATTTCTTTAAATAAAGCTGCAGTATAGTACCCATTTTAAATGAAACTAGGCGCGCCTATCGAACAATGAAAAATGTATTCCATGCTCTTTTAAGCCAATTTTCTGTAGACATTGGGTCAATCTTCTGTTGTGAAGCTGCCTTCAGTCTTGTAATAATTATGAGATTAAGTACTAATTCCCTATTTTCATTTCGTACTTAGCTTTTAATATGCCCCAGGACAATAATTACTGGAGTCAGAGGAATCCCCCAGGCATTAGTATACTTAATTAATGCAATTATGTCTTCCCGTAGGAGGCAGATTGGCTTAAATTGTGTATTCACTAATCTGAGAGGACGTCTGGTTGAGCTTGCTAGGCCTTACTTCTGAGGAGACATACACAGGGTTTGTGTATGTCTCCTGAGAAGTAAGGCCTAGCAAGCTCAACTTCCACCTGATATGGGAATTGTCTGCATCAGCATCAGGTATAAGGTTTTGAAGATTTCAGGGGATGAGGTAGAAGCGATAGAGATCGCCAGACGCTCATAGGGAGATGACATGCTTAACGACCCATCTTGTGCAGTGTTCCAGATTTTGCTTGAACTCTCTGAATGGTTCTGTATCTAATTTAATTTAATTTAATTTTCTGTAAATACAACTGACATTGATTTTAAAAAATACCCTTAAAGAGCAGCCATGCGGGTCAAAATTTGTGGGGTTTGGCCTTGGATTTATACATTACCTATGCAATGGGCTTTGTTGTTGTTGTGTTGTTCTTGGTGTCCCTAGTAGGATTTCCAAGGTAGGTCAGATGTTTGAGGAGTGATCAACCATTTACAGTGGTGCCTTGCTAGACAATGATAATCTGTTCCACTGAAATCGTTGTTTAGTGAAATCATTGTCTAGCAAAAAGCATTTCCCCATTGGAATGCATTGAAACCTGTTTAATGCGTTCCCATGGGGAAGAATAATCGTTGTCTAGTGAAGACTGGCCATAGGAAAGCCACTTTGCGAACCGCCAGTCAGCTGTTTAAATAGCTGTCTTGCAAAGCTTCGGTCCCGAAAACTCCCGTTTTGCGAGCGCGGAGGGAGCTGTCAAAATTGTCGTCTAGCGAAAATCGGTTTGCGAAGCAGGGACCAAACATTGTCCAGCGAAATTCCCCCATAGGAATCACTGTTTTGCGAATCGCTATAGGGATCGCGAAAAGTCAATGTCTAGCGAAAAAACTGTCATGCGGGGTAACTGTCTAGCAAGACACCACTGTATACTATGCCAGTGCAATGTCTAGCGAAAAAACGGTCATGCGGGAGAGCCAGTGATTTCCATGGCTGAGCGGAGATTTGAACCCAGATCGACGGAGTCTTAACCCACCACTCTGCCTTACTACACCACGCTGGCTCTTGAGCGAGAGGTTTTTGTGGCATCTTCTTGTCTTGAAGCCGCATCAAATATTTTGATGCCCAGCTTTTCAGCCTTAAAGCTGGACCAGGAGTGGCGCTTACGATGCCGCTCTGGATGGTTGCTGGACTGTCGATCCCATCGATGCCATTAAAAAAAATGTAGAAGCCCCAGTGGCAGAAGACAAAAAACTAGAGATTTGCAGGGAGAACACCATGCTGATTCACAGTGACTTTTGCATCATGTAGTCAACAGAAAACAATGTGGATATTAGACCATCCAGGCCTTGAGCATTTCCGGTATTATTTGTTAATGTAGTGGCACCCTCTTTCTGTCATGCACACATATGGATTTGCTTCTTGTGACGATATAGAGGCTTGGCCTTAGCTCTCCAGTTCTCTGAATTCTCAAGAAACAGGAAGCTGCGAAGGGCCAACTCAACATTTGTCCCGGATACGAATTCTGCACCCCGGTCCCCCACCTCAACACATATAAGATGTTGTATTATCAAAGCCGAGGATAATCAAATGAGATACATTGCGGGGAAACAGCATTTGATTGGGGACTTGGTTTGAATCTGTAGCTTCCCAAAACCAATTTTCATGAAGCAAATAAATAGCTTGGGGAGTGAATCCTTTAAGAATTCAGACCTGCCAGTGCAGTGATGTCAGCCCTTGGCTTCAAACTCCCTTGAGCATGCCCAGAAGCAGCGCGGTTGCCATGGATACCAGAGAACACTCATATATTTGGAATTAAAATTGCCAGGGACCTGGTGGAATAGGAGGGAGCAGAATTCATGTTGTCTTCTAAGACAACAGCCTTTCAGCAATAGGTCATAAGCTGCTATTTATGCATTTAGTTCACCCTCCCTGCCTTTTCGTTTACACAGCGCCAATCACAACACAGCGAAATAGCACAACCTAAATAAGAGCTGGTTACATGAAATATGTAGGCTAATTTGTTTGTTTGTTTGTTTTATTTAAAGGCTGCCTTTCTCCCAATAAGGGGACCCAAGGCAGCTCACAATATTAAAAAGAATAGAATTTAAAAAGTAATAGGTTAAACATTAAAAAGCAATTAAACTATATGCTAATTAAAATACAGTGGAATAATTAAAAGCAAGTAAACATTAAAAAATATCTTTAAAAAAGGCATTCAGGGACTCACAGAAAGAGGAGGAGAGAGCAGCGTTCACCAAGAATTAATATGGGGGTTGCCATTCAGTTTATTACCCTAAAGCAAAACTAGGAAATGTGGGGTGGCCCAGATTAAACCACATAGAAATATTCCTGTAGGATCAGACCAAAGACCTTTCTTCTGCTCACACACGGCTGACTTCTTCGCAAATCCTTGGAATATTAGTTTTTGGACCAAACTCCCAGAATCCCCTGCTGGCTGGAAGTCGTAGTCCAGAAATTTAATGTTTATTTTATTTACTGTGTTTGTTTGTTTGTTTGTTTGTTTGTTTATTTTATTTTATTTTATTTATACCCCGCCTGTCTAGTCGAACGACCCCTCTAGGCGGCTGTTCCTAACAAGCTCTGCCTTTGGACGCTTGTGGGACAAATTTTTAATTGATAGAGTCATGGATCTAAATTGTTTTTGTAGATTGTTTTTGCTTTTGTTTTTATTTTCGCTTTTATAGGGTATAGATGTAACCATATTGGTTTTTAGTGTGTCTGTTTTTAACTGAACTGTTTTAATGGATGTTGGAAGCCACCCGGAGACTCTTGCAGAGGGTGGTCAGCATATAAGGTGAATGAATGAATGAATGAATGAATGAATGAATGAATGAATGAATGAATGAATGAATGAATGCCTTCTATCTTGCATTCCCCAGTGAAAGGTTTATGGCCGCTTACCCCTTCCCATACTGGAGGTGATAAGCTTGCTAACTTGCATCCATCGGTAAGTTTCATCCTCCATGACTTTAAGCAGTGCCTTTCAGAACAGTTCAAAATTGGCTTCCAGGAGCTACATCTAGTGGCAGTGAATTCCACCGTTTCCCTAGGTGCTGGGTGAAGATTCCCAACCTGTCATCACTCCTGAATCTCCCGCCTTTCAAGGTCATGGTCTGGATTTTTGTATCAGGAGACAGAGAGTCAATAAGCTTCTTCTTTTTTACTTTCTCTGTGTTATTGGACTCCTCTTCCTCTAAGGCCTAGCAAAGCTAGCTGGGGGTTACAGATGATGATGGGATTTGTAGTTCAACAAACTCTGGAGGGCCCTAGCGTCCCCACCCCTGCATTAGGACATTTGGAATCGAGAGGGTTGTGTTATAGCCATCATGGAGAGGGAGAGATGGGAAGGAGATAATACAGTAGTGGGAACGTCCGTCATGCGACCAAGCTGGTCAAGTACAGACTAGAAGATGGTACCATTAAGCAGGATGGTGGCTGAGAGAATGGGCTAGTATAGGAGGCAGGGGTGGACAAAGGACAAGGTCTTCCCAGGGAGTAAGAGACGTGCAGACTGGGATGGGTGGCAAAGCACAGAGGGTAAAAGCAATGGTCAGGGCCGTATTGGGCTCTTGACATCTGGCCATGGAGCCAGGGGATGGGAGTTCGATTCCCCATCATGCCTTCTTGACGGGGGATGTACCCTGACCCATCGGGTCCCTTTCCAGCTCTGCCGTTCTCTCTCAGATCAAAGGAAGAAAAGAAGAAAGGCTAAATATGGAATGGACTAAATAAAGGAAGCCACAGTCTTGAGTTTGCAAGACTTTATGGCAAAGGACCTTTGGGGGGAATCAGTCACTCACGGATCCACGACACGTACCAAAAAGTTAGCACAGTGGTGCCTCGCATTACGATGTTAATTCGTTCCAGCGAAATCGCTGTAGAACGAAAACATTGTAAAGCGATTTTTAAAAGCCCATAGAAACGCATTAAAACCCGATTAATGCGTTCCTTTGGGCTTGAAACTCACCGTCCAGCGAAGATCCTCCATAGTGTGGCCATTTTCGCTGCCCATGCAGCAAGGAATCCGTCCCAGAAAACAGCGGGCGGCCATTTTTTTTACCCGGCAGCCATTTTGAACCCGCCGATCAGCTGCGCGAAAATCGTCGTTTTGCGATAATTGGTTAGCGAAGCAGGGAACCAAACATCGCAAAGCGAAAAAAACCCATAGGAAACATAGTTTTGCGATTGCAAAAAAATTCGTCATTATGCGATTTCGTCGTAAAACGAAGCGCTCGTCTTGCGAGGCTCCACTGTATGCTAGGGGTTGTCCATATGCTGTTAATTAGTGGTATCTATCAAGAAGTCCTTGGAGGTCTTTGAAGACGAGGAAAGGGAGCTGGTGCTGAATCCAGGAGGAGACAAGAAGTCATGGAAGGTTTCAGAAAGGGGTCTGATGGTCCAGTTGGTATGGGGGGGGGGGCGGAATAGCTGGTCAGGAAGGATGCTGGATAAATGTGATGGGCCAAGAGGAGGAGATATGAGAGCAGAAGGGGAAAAGATTTCACAAGTCAAGGGAGAGACGGCTACCACATGGATCAGATTTTATTTTGCAGAGGGAATGGCAAGAATTTTGCACTGGGGAGGCATGATTCCATTTCTTAAAATCTGCATGGCTCATACGTGCCTAAGATCAGGTTTACACAGATTTTCATTATCACTGGAGAGAGAACCAACAACACAAGGCAGAGAAAGAAAAAAACACTTTTTGATGCTTCCAGAAGCTGTGCATTTGAGGTGGATTCCTTTTTTGGCTTTTTAACTGAACAATGAAACATTAATTACAAGGGACCAATGCAGCTTACCAGCCTTCCTCGGAGCTAAAATTGCTGCTCTTTCTTCACTTGAACGAGGGGACGTTAATTAGAATGTTAAATCTTTAATTCGGTACAGTGACATTTCCGGATGGGCTCTTGATTAATTCACACGTACTGTCCTCGAAGGAAAAAAAGACTGGGGGATTAAAAACCCACACATACTCCAGGTTGATTAGGATGGCAGAGGGATGGGAACCAATGGTTGAGGAATGGAAGCCAGAACTTAAAAAAATTACTTTTGAGGACTCCCAGAATCCATCAGCAAGCTTAGCTTAGAGGAGTGAATGGCCGTCATCTTGTGGTAGGTAGTTCTCTAGCTAACCTAGGCACCAGTTAAGCTACAGAAATAGTGTGATTAAATGCCAACTTTTATCCATTCTGAATCTTTCACCATTCAGCTTCATGTCCACCACTAACAGTTAAATTAGGCCTCCTTCAGTCTCAAGAGACTACAGTAACGTGCTCTGAACAGAGGACTTGGAACAGCGTCTAGTGAGGCTGAGGAGGCCACTTTGAGAGTGGCAATCCCTTCCACACTGAAGACAAATACAATCTGTTCCCTATCCAGCTCCCTGATTCAGCTGCTTTCGGGACAGCCTCTTTGCCTCGGCCTGCTGGACAAGGGTCTCTTCAAATTGAGAGAGGCCGTGAAGCACTGCCTGCCTCCAGGCTGAACACTCAGAGGTCAAGGTTTCCCATCTGTTGAGGTCCATTCCTAAGGCTTTCAGATCTCGCTTGCAGATATCCTTGTATCGCAGCGGTGGTCTCCCTCTGGAGCGATTTCCCTGCACTAATTTTCCATCCATGAGATCTTTTGGATTCAGACCATCAGCCATTCTCACGACATGCCCAAGCCAACGTAGACATCGCTGTTTCAGTAATGTATACATGCTAAAAATTCCAGCTCATTCTAGGACTACTATATTTGGAACTTTGTCCTGCCAGGCGATCTCAAAAATGCGTCAGAGGCGACACATATGGAAAGTGTTCAGCTTCCTCTCCTGCCGTGCACAAAGGGTCCAGGACTCGCTGCAGTATAGGAGTGTGCTCAGGACACAGGCTTTATAGGCCTGGATCTTGCTGTATGCTGTCAGCTTCTTATTGAGCCATACTCTCTATGTGAGTCTAGAGAACATGGTGGCTGCTTTGCCAATGTGTTTATGTACCACCAACAGTACAACACCTCTAAAAAAGAGTAGATGGAAGCAGCTGTATATCACCTTGGGAGAGAAATCTGTAGAGATGGGGCTACCACTTAGAACGCCCTGCTTTTCGTTTCAAACAATCAGGTCCTGTTACGAGATCCCTTCCTCTATTATAAAACAGACCTCACTTAATTTTCCATTCCTCCCCTTCCAGGGTTACATGAAGCCCCTGAAGCAGCCAGAAAACTCCATTCTCTGTGATCCTTCCTTGGTGGATGAAATCTTTGACCAGATCCCAGAGCTGCTGGAGCATCACGAGGAGTTCCTGGAGCAGATCTCCGAATGTGTGCAGAACTGGCATGAGAAGCAGAAAGTGGGAGACATCCTGGTACAGTCTGTAAGTACTACCACCCACCCGCAGGATGACGGATCCTGTGTTTTCAAGCCCTCTTTGACTCACTTCTACAAACGGCAGAGGAGAGAGGAGTGGCCTAGAGAAAGACTGGTTCTAGAAAGAAAGCTGTGGGTGGCATTCTCTTCAGTGACAACCCTATGCAGTGGGTTGTGACTTTAGGAAGGATGATGGAGAAACCCTCTTATCCATTTTTATCTTCTCACCACTTTTAAAAAATTATTATCCTAAGTAGTGCCGCACTATTTCATATTCAAGGGAGTCTCTGTGCTAGGTTGCTGTATTGCTGTAGCGCTATGCCACTTCTCAAATTGAACCACAGAAAAGAAAAGAAAGAAAATCGCTGGGGCCTGTGGAATGACAGCCACACACACATACACACAAAAAGGCAGGGGCAAGGGGATCATTAATCAAAAGGGAGAGAAATTGGAGCCATCTGAAGTGCTTTCTGGATCCTTCTCATGGGAGAAGAAGCCTCTCCAATGTGGATGGTAGGATCTCTCAAGTGCAAGATAAAATAGATTTCACAGAGGTTAAGAGTCAATGTGAACTGGATCACTCCAGATTCCTCTGTCTAGTCACGACACCGTAAGTCATCTCTGTACCTGCTCAGAATTCAGTCCAGCTGGTTGTGTGTGCATGTTGAGTTTCTTTTTATGGCTCCGGGATGGCTGTGGGTTCTGCCAGAGTGAACACCTGCAGTTGCAAATTTACACCTTCACTCTCTTGTCTGTAGACAAAAGCCTAGCTTTAACCTCAAGAGATTGGCTTGTTGTTTTGGTTCAACCCCCCAGGCTCTTGAATTAGCTGAGAGCACAAGCATAGGGCCAAACAGCATTGCATCAGTAAAGCTGGAGGTTAAGTTTATATGCTCCACTAAGGGAAGAAGAAGAAAACAATTCAGGTGAGGCCAAATTGCTAGTTGGCCAAATTGCTAGCTGCACCCATTCTGTAGGTCCCCCTTTGAAAAACACTTCTACAAACATAGAGACTGAGGGTGGTGGAAAGCGAGGGCGTTTGCTGGGGATCCCAGTGCCCCTCTGTGCGTACGTCTGAGATTTACACTCCGGCTGGTGAGACACCGTGTTCTCTCATCTGAGCCAACGCTGTCGCTGTGGATGGGACTCCCAGCCCCGGATCCGCTTTTCCTTCTAGGTGACGGACAGGGACAGTCGCTGATGTGAACCGCTCAATGTACCAGAGACCGAAAGTCTGAAGCCCTCTGAGGCTTGTCAACTGGAAAGCCAGCTTCCAGACTCTGGAGGTCGGCTTGCAAGCTGAAGGTCAATGTTTGACCATATTGTGTGTTTAACAAAAGAGGTTTCTAGTCCTCATGGTTTGGAATATTACTTCATTGGTGTATCTGATGCCAGAAATGGACCATGTCATCCTTTGTGATGCTGGAAAGGTTAACAGCACAGAGGACTAGGAACTTCCAAACAAAATTTGAGGCTCTCGAGATGCAGAATTCTGCAGCTCATGTGGCAATCCTGAAGATACACAGGAGACACGCAGGCCCTGTTTGCAAAGTCTCTGAGGGTGCAGGGCATCATCGAGAACGAAGACGCCAGCGAGATTTGGGTCTCGTTTCTCCAGCTAAGAAAACACAGGTTTGGTTGAAATCCGAGAACCTGGAGCAAGAGATGCCTTCCTTCCTGAACTCAGCCCCCGACAATCTGCCGCCCCGGCCTCTTTCACATGCTCTCGAATCATTTTCCCTGGAAAGTTATTTTCTCGGAAAGAGAAAGGAACAGATGCTGCTGCTTGAAAGCAGAGGCCCAGGAGGGGAAAAAACCCCAGCATCCCCCAAGAGGGAGCCTTCAGCAGGAGACGCTCAGCAGGCAAGTCACGTCCGCTCGTTAGGTGTGATGTTGGGGAGGACGGAAGGCTCCTGATGTGGGCCCAGTGAACCTGTTCTTTCCACAGCCATCCTGCAGCCAGCATCTCCTGGCACCCTTCTCTGAAAGGAGGGTCCCTTCACCTGCAGGGGTGCAAACTTCACGACGGTGCAAGGAGCGAGGTGCAAAGGTGTCCAGGGAAAGGGGCCAGGTACTGCAAGAGCAACGATGCGCTCCACCAAGAAATGGCAGGCAGGGCTCCTGTGCCTTTAAGAGCGCCCTGGAAGAAGACCTTTCTGTAGATGTCGCTTGTGTAAGGGAAAGGCTGACAGTTTCTCCTGGAGTGGCGGGGTGGGGAATACATTTTTCCCCTGTGATATTGCTGAACATAAGAACCTAAGAAGATGCCTGCTGGATCAGGCCAGGAGCCCATCTCATCCAGCTACCTATATCTTGCCGTGGCCCCACCAGATGCCTCTGGGAGCATATGGGACAACTAGATAGCTGTCTCCTGAACCCCCCCTCCCCTGCATTTGGCCTTTGGAGGTCCCTTCCTTCGAAGCCTGGAGATGATACATCCCCATCATGGCTTGTCACCTGCGATGGGACTTTTCCTCCAGGAATCTGTCCCATCCCCTTTGCCACCCTTTTAGTCATCCTCCCATTCTTTGCAGCCAGGCCCAGAGCGATATTCCGCTTATGGGTCCAGACTGTTTTCACAAACGGGGCCGAGATTTCTGTTTTCTCCAAAGTCAACTCCACTGATTTAACTACAGCTTTACCTCCAAGCCTATATCTAGGATTGAAATTTGCATGCCAACCATCTGGTGTTTTCCTTTTTCCATCCTATTACAGTTGCAAACTAGAGGAGGATCCACTGAATCAGATACTCCGTAGTAAGTCACTACTGCATTTATGTCAATCCCACTGAGTATCACCAAGAAGCCCCCTTCGACACACTCTTTAGGGACTGAACTTGTAAATAGGGTTTAAAGTTGCCTATAATCAGACTTAAACATGACTTAGAAGTTCTAGTTGGATCAGCTAAACATTCTGTCCGCTAATCCCACATGTTTAAATAGGATGAGCTTGTCACGAGTACTCAGTGATTTGGGAAATGCCATTGCAGAGAAGCATCCTGCACTCTGAGGCTAAATCTTTGTCCCGGAAGCCAGTCATGGTGCTCAGATACAGCTTGGGTTTGGTCCTGTGAGGATGCGGAGCCCAAGAGGCCAACAATTTGAAATCAAAACAAGGACGCCCTCAGACATTGTACTGTTCGATTCAAAAGACTGGGAATGTGGAATCTACTTTGTAGATTTTTAATGTGACTAAATATGTGTAAACTCGGAGATAAAGAAGAAGAAGGAGAATCATAGAAATCATAGAAAAGTGAAGTTCAAAAGGGCCTAAAAGGCCATCAAGTTCAACCCCCTGTTCAACGCAGGAATATCATCTAAGCATATCTGCCAGGCGATTATTCAAGTTTTTCTTGAATGCAGGACGGAATGATTAATTGATTTGTTAAAGGAATCCTTGTGAGCTTTTAATTTTAAAAAGACTCCCCAGAGTGTAGCAGTCCTACTTTTGGCACATCATGAGAAGACGGGATTCTTTGAAAGAGACTTTACTGCTGGGAAAAGTAGAAGGCAGGAGGAAAAGAGGAAGACCCAACACGAGATGAACTGACTACCTAAAGGAAAGCACAGGTTTCAGTTTACAAAATCTGAGCAGGGCTGTGGAGGACGGGACATTTGGAGATAGACCACTCATGGGCCGTCATAAGTTGTGAATGACTTGACGATGCACAGCAGCAACAGGAACAACAGTAAATAATTGTGCAACTCACTGTTTATTGCAATTGTTTTAATATAAGGATATGTCAGAACATTCTGCTCCTGGAAACCATCTTAAAAGTTGGTGGCCAATTGAACCTGGTTAGTCTTTAAGATGCAATTAAGACTGGTCAAGTCTTTAAGATGCCATAAGGGTGTTTTTCTGCAACATGTTGGAGAGGCTCACACCACTGGCTTGCTGTGGCAGAGAAGTTATGTCTGTGTTGATGACTTGCTAATGTCCGTACTCCCTTTATTTAGAAAACAACAGCTTTGTTGCTTCCACACCATTGTTCCTCTTCGTGCTCAGATATAGGTGGTAGCTTAATCTGTTAAATAGGGAATTAATAGAGTCCGATATCTTTAACCAAGTGCCTGAACAGCAACACTCAGTATTTTTATACTGTGCTCCTGCTGAGCCTTGCATGGGTTTCTGTAGATGCTATCTTGGTAATGTTTGTAACGCCTGTGTAAAAGTAGACCACCTGGATTAAGGGAGATGATGTTAATACGCAGAAATTGATACAGATAAATGATGACCCGAACCAGCCAAGACATGGGCTCCCCAGATGGCTGCAGGGATCGTTTGGCATGTGATAAGAGCCGTACATTCCCATTTTAAGCCAATAAAATGGAACAAGTGGAAGTTGGTCCGTTAAAGCAAAGACGATCTCGATCCACCAATCCTGGCCACCTACCTGGTAGAATCAGAAAATAAGAGCCTTACCTGTGTTCTCCTCTTGCCTGCATACCCATGTGCATATATGTGTAAATGTTCACTCTTCCCTCGGGCTCTTTGGTTCCATCTGTCCGTGCAGTTCACTCTGTGCCACCAGCAGTGGGCATCAGGTGCCACTGAATGAAAGTGTAGCACGAGTTGATAAGTAAGGCGTCATCTGAACCAGAGGTTTCTCATTCCTAGATCACTCAGTTCAGCAATACACTAGTCCTCAATAGAGATGAGCACAAACTGCAGGCTTGGCGGTTCGTGCTGGTTCGTCTTTTGCACGAACGGGTGTTCAGTGTTTCTCAGCCTTGCCACCTTTGGCGGGCGCCCACTCAGTGGCATCAGCACCCTGGGCTTCCCTGCCCTGACTCCTCCAGGGGCTGCCTCTGAGTGGGTGGCTGGACTGGGAAGCGAGGAACCTCTGTTTGTATTGTAGGACGAACTGGCACGAATCACTGAACCAGCAGTCCGTGCCCATCTCTAGTCCTCAGGTGACTTGCTGACGATGGGCATTTTTGCCACAAAGGATCCTGGCATTTCAATATTGTTTTTCGAGGCATCGTGCCCCCTGAACCCCCAATGGTCACTGGCATACACCAAAAGTAGGACCTGATTAACAGACGTGTTATTTCTGAAAATGCCGAAGTATTAAAATCAGGCGAATTCTTTACAGTTGCTGTGTTTGCACGGTCAAGATGCGAGCGGAATCTGTTGTTCTTTTCCGGATGACCGGTCTCCAAGCAAAAGCAAGCTTATTTGCAATTTTCCAAGGTGTAAAACAACTTTGGAGGATGATCAGATCTCTGTTTTTTAAGGCAGCTTTGTTTCTAAATGTGAAGCTGTCCACCTCACCTGATACATACTTTGTGGGGGGGGAGGGGGAACCCTTTTGTCATCACATGATCCTCAGTTAATTATTCAGATTGTTGTGCTCACCGTGTGTTCAAAGCAGGGAGGTGCTTGTTTGCATCCTGGTCTGCAAACCAGATACACTTAGAAAACATGTTTGGCAATATAGCTCTTTGTCTAAATAAGCTTTTAAAGAAAGGTTTGCTATAATAATTACTGGTTTTATTTATCTAAACTGTTTTTAATTGACTGGAACAGAGGTGATAAAATTTGAATAATTCCTAATTAATTAGCTATCTGTTTTGTTTAATTGGCATTGCAAATGAGGATTCGTAGCTGCCTAAAATGAAAGTGACATCATTGCTGAGGGTGATGTAATATGACCTGGGTTTTTTTTCTGTCTGACATCACTTCGAATGGACTCTCTCAGTGTTTCATTAATGCTTTTGCTCTTCCCCCCAGTTTTCCAAGGACATCCTGGTGCACATTTACTCTGCCTACATTGACAATTTTCTCAATGCCAAAGATGCCGTGAGAATTGCTAAGGAAGCCAGACCAGCCTTTATGAAATTTCTGGAGGTAGGTTACAATTTCATTTCCCTCTTGCGGTTTTATAAGACAAAAGACAGCCATGAACCACGATCTCTCCAGCATCGTTGCTAAGAACCTAGCCGATCTGAAGTCTCATCGGGTGGCCCTGGAGTTTTGCAGATCTAAAGCAAATGCACATTTTATGCACTCCCTCTGTTGTCTCATGTGCTAATGAAATAGCAGATCAGATCATAACGTTCCTCAGACCACAGTTTTCACGTTCAGCCTCTCGGAAGCAGTTTTCGTGCCTCAGACTCCTTTTATTTCGGTTTATCCGTCAGTGTAGATTTCTTTTGTCTGAATATGTGCTCCTACTTCTTCCCACGAGAAGAAGAATTCTGCTTCTTGGAAGGGAGTCTTTGTGACTTTTAAGGACCTTCCTGACTCGGTTCGTGAACCAAATTGATCCTCACTCAGACTAACTGGCTTTTCCCCCTAACCCTGTCCACACTGGTTCCCTCCTGGTGTTTGACTCTCCCTCTTAACCTCCCTGATGGCATGAAGATTAGAGACGTTGCTGCTGCTGCAGAGATCTGCAAGGTGCTACTTTGAGGAAGCTTGGCCTAGCTAGGCTTTGATCCCACGGAGGAATAGAAGGCCAGTTCAAGCTGCTTGTAAAGATGCACCTTTGCTCCTTCGCCCCCATAAACTCTTAAGGTAAAGGTAAAGGTTCCCCTTGACACTGACTCCAGTGGTGTCTGACTCGAGAGCGCAGTGCTCATCTCCGTCTCCCAAGCCGTAGAGCCAGCGTTCTGTCCATAGACAGTTTCCGTGGCCACGTGGCCAACGCGACTTAGACACGGAACGCCGTGACCTTCCCACCGAGGTGGTCCCTGTTTATCAACTCACATTTCTACATGCTTTTGAACGGCTAGGTTGGCAGGAGCTGGGACAAGCGACGGGAGTTCCCTCCATCACGTGAATTTGATCTTACGACGGGTGGTCTTCTGACCTTGCAGCACAGAGGCTTCTGCGGTTTAACCCACAGCGCCACCACGTCCCTTTTAAACTCTTACTCAGCATCTCTTCAAATAACCTTCCACTGGCTGTTGATCCAGGCATCTTCAAGCCCTTGGTTGCCTCTGCTAGGGGTACTTTCTTCAGGATACTTTCCTAGCTAGAACCGGTGCACCAGAAAGGTTGGCGCCCTAGATGTTGGTTTCTGATGCCCTCTGGTGATGAAAAGCCCATGGTGTTGGGCAAAGCCATAATGTTTGCTTGTCTTTTCTCCCACACCCTTGCCATGTGTACATATTGAACTATTTGTCTCCCACAAATTGTATGCGATGGTGGCATGGATTTTAATCCCCAGATGCTTGCACTGGAACAGATCTGTTAGTCTTGAAGTACCACAATATTTCCCTTGTTTCCCTCAACCTCCTACTTTCCCCCTTTTTTTCCCTTTAGTTCCTCGCCCCCCCAAAAAAATCTAGTGTTCCTGAAGCCATTTTAATGCTCCAGATTCCTTTTTCATTGAGTTTCTCCATCCGCTTGTATTTCTTTCATGTAAATTTCTGTCCCTCTTTCATCTACTCATGTGAGCAAGGCTTCCAGTTCTGGAAAGCACCCAGAAATGTCGGCACCGCAGGCTGATTTCTGAGACCTTGGAGAGAAACAGTTTGTGGGGTCGAAGAACCCAACGAATGCGGGGATCTTACAAAACAAGCATGTTGCCAACCCGCTCGGGTACAGATACAGAATTTTCGCCCAGCACCTTTGCAGGTTTGATTTAACCTTTTGGCCTTTTTCCCCCACCCCCTTTTCTTCTAGCAAAGCATGAGGGAAAACAAAGAAAAACAGGCCCTCTCAGACCTCATGATCAAGCCGGTGCAACGGATTCCACGTTATGAACTCCTGGTCAAGGTGAGCCAAACGGAGATGGACCGCTCTCGGTGGTTCCCTGCAGGGTGTGATCTCGTGCGAATTCACGGAAGGGGAGCAAAGGGTTGCAAGAGCAGGCGTGCTTCACTTGGTTAATGCAGCCACTTGGAATAGGGTTTTCTGAATTTTCGGGGTGGAGTGGGGACTACAGATCCCACAATTCTCTATTCTGGGAGTTCTACCTGGTAGGCAGATGTCTTCCAGACACTTAAGTGTGGCTCACCCTGGCAGAAAGGCCTAGCTTGACCAATGTCTGCCTGTTCAGAAAGACCCCTCCGAGCTAGCAGTGGGGCAGGAACATGAGGCTGGGGGGAAACTGAGCTAGGCCTAGCTAGGACTCAACACCTTCCGGTTTCAGGCCTTTCTGCCAGGCGAGCCACACTGAAGTCTCTGCACAGTGTCTTGTCTATCAGGTAGAACTCCCAAAATGGAGCTCCTTCCCTGCCTTCCAGTCAACCCCACTGTTAGTTAAACTAAGCAGAAATGCCCATAATTATTCCAGATCCAAATCTAGGAACGGTTAGTACTTTTTTTGAAAAATAAATCCCCAGTCCGTTTGACAGTTGCAAATCTAAACAAACAAACAAACAACGTTCCCAAATGCTGATGTTTACAGCTGTGCCCAAGCGCCAGCCCCCCCCCCCCCGCCCTGCCCTTCAACATTTCAGTGGGACTTGGCAGCCTTGGGTCCCTTTTCTTGAGGGGCTTTGGTTGGGGGGCTTCCCACTCGTTCTGCCCGACGGTTGTACTGCCGCCCCCCCCAGGAGGTTGGGCTGCCGCAGTGACAGCTTGATCTCGGCGCATGCCACATTCCTCAGATGCTTCACACGCCTGAGTCAGAGTGATGGGTCTGGCTCGCATTCCAGGAAAGAAAGATTACTCATTCTGGAGCGCTGAGGCTCATCCGGTAGCGGGGGGGGGGACTTTTTTTTTTGCGTGGGGACAGCATTGAACAACTGCGCAAGCCAAAGGCCAGCGTGACAGCCTCGTTTTCCAGAAGTCAAGTGAGATCAGGAAAGGACAGAAGAGGCTCCCTATACTGGGATTGGACAGCCAACGTCACTGGTTTGTTAGTTTGGCTGTTTTTTTTTTAATTTTTATTTTATTTTATTGCCAGGGAAGCCTCACGAAACCCCGAGAGGATCCTTCACTCTTGCCTGGGAACTCGCTGATCTTGAATGGCCTTCTTGTGTTTACTCAGATGTAAAAAGCCCTTGCGAATTCTGTTCTAGAATTCAAGAGGAACTTAAAACTCCTAGGGATACACACTGGGAGCAGTAGCCTTGAGGGCTAGAAACTTGGTGGAAGGCGGTGTGAGGTTGTTTTCCTTTCGACTTATAGGCCACCCCATAGTGCTACTGCATTTGCTGGGTGGTTTACAACATAATGATGCAAACAACACACTTCTTTTCTCTCCCCCCACCCCAAACACACTGAAGGATGGAAGCCTGAGTCAACCTTGATCTGGCTATCTGAACCTGCTGGGATCAAACTCAAGCCATTGACCGCAGTACCGCAGTCCTGCCACTACACCAGAAGGCTCCATATTTTTCTTTTCTCTCCTTTTAATTTTTCCCTTTTCTTTTCAGAAAGTGGGCTTTTCAGTGGGGAGTTTTGTGTGCGCTAGCCATTAAAAAAAACATGCTCATCTGCAGCAAACGCTGTAAATCCTCCTCCTACATAAATCCATGCATACAGTCTGAACAGGGTTGCTGTTGGCATCATCCTCCCCTCCTGACCGTATGAGTCCCCTTGCCTGTTGGCATGAAGAACTCTACCGAGCCACTTTTCCAATCTGCTGTTCCTGTTTACTGCTCCCTCGTCGAGCGTCCCATTTTTTTCCTCCGTAGTTTTGCCTTGGGTGAATATTAGATTGTAAGGTTTTGGGGGCAGAGACCTGGAAGTCTTCTATTCTCTGAAGCCTGGGTCTTTGTTCTCCGTGGGGGGCCAAGGGCTATTTGGACTGGCCACTCATGGGGTACACTCCCAGGCAAGTGGGATTAAGGTAGAAAGGTTGTAGCCATAACAGTCAATTCAGTGGGGTTTTATTAAGTGAGGAAATAAATTTGAAAATGGGGGTTAAATGGGAAAAGCAATTAGTTTTAGCGGCCCCCCCCCAGGATATTTAAAAAAAAAAAATTTAAGTCAGAGGCACAAAAGAGCAGCACTGAGGAGTCCTCAAAACATGAGGATGCCCTATTGAGCACAGAAAAGGATCTTTTGAACGCTGTTTGGTTTTTTTTTTAATGTGGCTTTAGTGCCAGCAAAAATTATTCCTCGGGGGTGCATTAGAACCATGGATTGCCTGCTGTGCCCCCTCCTTCTGTAACTGGGCTTGCCCAAGGATGGATCTGTCTGAACAGTAACTCAGCAAATATTTACGGGTGGTTGTTAAGATTTTAGGAGCCAGATCTGAGGGGGGAAACATCGCAAATCCTCCGTTGGATGAGACTTGTTTTGACATGGACTGCCAGTCGCTTGGGAATGGAACCGGTGTGTAAGCCGGGTAGAAACAGTTCTTATAATTAACTTATAATTAGCTTGTGAACTCATAACATGTTGCGAGAGGCATCAGTAGCCCCTGGCAAACTGACTTTTTCAGTTTGAAAATGCAAAGAATTCCCTAATCTATATGGCCACTCTCTGTGCTGGCTCAATTATTATTATTTATTTGAACCTGTCGTTCCATACTGTGGTTTAAAACAGCTTTAAAAGTGGGTCCAAAGAGTATTTATGGCAGATCCACCTATCTGTAAATTAGTACACGTGATCGTTGGTAGAGCCTCCATGTTAAGAGGCAGTCTATCTGGTTGCCTTTTTCTATGCAAAACTAAGAAGGGAAGTTTGCGGCTTTCATGCCCTGCTTTCTGGCCATCCAAGAAGACCATCTGTTCTTCTGCTGTTCTGAACAATGTTGTTTCTTTTGTTTAGATTTACACCCTGGCCATCTATGTAGTGGGCAAGCCAGACTACTCCCAAAAAGAATAGACCAACAGAATTTTAAAAATGAACATATAAAAGAAAGAAAAAAATAGCACAAAACCTCCAGATAGGTTTCTTCCCCTTTTTTTTAACCAGATTGAGCAGAACTTTTATGCTACGTTCCTCTTATTTACTGCAAAACATTTATCGGTAAATGTCAGAATGTTCAGACGTTCTGAGCCTCTTTAAATGTTAAGAACGGCTGGAAAAAGTCATCGTTCACCACATTTTTGACATTTGAAGCAACACATGGGGGCGTCCCCCCTCAGTCTGTGGCTCTCGGCACACATTTTGTGTACGTGGTGGCGATCAGCTTGCAAAGCGAAGGGGGGGGGTTGCGGCTTCGAGCCAAAAATACGCAAATTCCAGAATCTCAAAGCTGAAGCAGAAGGAGCGTGCTAGAAAATTCAGACGGCTGGGAGACAGAGCAACTTCTGGTTTTCAGTGGCAGGACCTTAAAGGAATTCCCAAGAGGCTAGCCAGGGTGGTGGGCAAGGAACAGACCCCAGAAAGCTTGCCCCTGAAGCACCCCATCCCTCTTTTGGGCTGTGCCAGTCCTGTTGCAAATAAAATGGACAGAACAGACCCGCCGCCGACCCAGATCCCTGCTTCCCTGATGGATGGTCTTTGGTGCCACTGAGTTGGCACCGAATGACCATCAATTACCCAGGACCTCTGCCAGGCTGCACTTACCAGTGGCCAATTAACCACCCAGTTTTATTTGTTTTTTTCCATGATGAATGGCCTGAGAGGCAGTTGTAGGGGGAAAACGCCAGGGGCTCCCTTGGCTGGCCTTACAGTTTTTTTCTTCCTCCAGAGAACGCCCGGTGTTCCTTCAAAGCCATTTCCCCTTGGCACTGCTACAGAAATCCTTAGCATCCTAGCTGTAGCTCTGTTAAGGGAAATAGCCCTCCATCTGTAAGCTGCTAGTGGGTGAACCTGCTTATGGCAATCCCTGGTTTCAAAGGCTGTCTAGTCCAACTGAGAGTGAGAAATCACTCTACATCCCTCGGGTTTTTTTTCCACCTGTTTTTGGCTGTGTCAACGGACCGCGTTGTTATTGCCTTCTGGGTGTGGGGCCGTGTGGACGTCTTGCTGCTGTGTTGTGTTTCCCATTAGCAAATCACGCCTGCTGTCTGTTTCTGTTAAAAGAACTTTTTAAAAAAATCATTCAACTTTAGCGCTGCATTACATAGGCAACTGGGGTTTTTCTGTCTGCAACACTGATGAAGCGCTATGCCACTTGGAATAAAAAAAGAGAGAAAAATAACTTGGGCAAGACGGTTATGGACAAGTATAAAATGCAGGCAGAGCCAGGCCATATTTTGGGCTGATCAAAGTGCCAACCTCAGGTCTATCTAAGGCCATTTAAAGAATGGTGTAGTCGTCCCCTATAACGAATTAACCTGGTTCATTTGAGGCTGCCCCATGACGATGAATCGACTCAAATACCCCAACACAACTCTTGAGTTATTTGGGCAATGTAGGTCCACCTTCAGATTTAAAAATAAACCCAGAGAAGGCAAAGAGGGACCTTGATGTTATCCATCCACAGTGGGAACTCCACAAACCCACCAATTAGAGTCTTCCACACTCGAATGATGGGCATTGGGTTTAAACCATCAGATTTATTCCTAGTTTTGCATCTGTGCTTCTCAGTCAGTGCATGCAGTCCTGGGCAAGCCAGCTTTCCTCTTGGCCTTCCTCCTTGGTGGTGCCCACCTTAGAGGAACCCATGCTTAAGTTCACAGGACTTCTTAGTCTGGCTCTCGACCCTTTTAGGGAGCAGGGCTGGGAAGGAATTTAGCCAGAGCCAGCAAACAATGCTGATTTTGTATGGCAGCTCTCTAATGCCAGTAGTCAAGATGCCAGTGGTCCTTCTTCCAAAGAACATGTGGCTGATCTGTCGTCCATTCAGAAGGGATCCCGGGCATGGCAGTGGCATTGTTTTGTTATTTTATTTTGCTTTGTTTTTTGTTTGTTTGTTTGCATTGCTGGTCTAGATCTGAGAACAGCCCACTCCCACTTTAGAAATCCCGCTGCAGGCTTGGTGCGGTGTTGTGTTGCAGTTTCCTTTTCAAATGTCAGGAACTGCATCACCATGAACCAGGTCCAGTGTATTCTGCGTTGGGAGGGCAAACACGGTCAGATCCGGTTAGAGCTTAGATGGGGGAGTTTCTAGTGATCTCCAAGCCAGGCTAGAAAAAGGATCCTGCACTAGTATGCCATTGGTCTGATCTCTCTGTATAATGGTGTAGAGTGGCTTAGACCGTGGGTGATGGAGGGGGAAGATTTTGTGTGTGTGTGTGTGTGTGTGTGTGTGTGTGTGTACGTACGTACGTACATACGTACGTACAAAAAGAAGGACTTTGGAATCATCTTGAGTTTCAAAAGCAATTTAGCATGTACGCCTTTTTAGAAAATCCTGATATATCAGTGCACTCGTGCCTTCTAAATTAAAAGGCAGGGGGAAAAAAATAAGGAAAATACAAAAAACTTAGCCGTGAAAAAGCAGAATAATTAAAAGTCCCAGTTTAAAAGCAACAGATAGCGTGAGGAGGCAGTTTCTACAGTCAGAAAAATCAAGCTTTTTTTTTTTTCAGACGGGTGGGCGACATACGTTATCCATTTAAAGAAAAATCCCGGTCCCTACATGAAGAAAAATAAGGACAGGCTGAATCATGATTCATAGCACGCCAGGTTTTCGGTGTGGAGAGAATGATTGTTATGCGGGAGGTAGCGTGGCAGGATGATGAGCATTCAAAAAGTCCCAGTTTAAAAGCAACAGATAGCATGAGGAGGCAGTTTCTACAGTCAGAAGAATCAAGCGTACGTATTTTTTTTTCAGACGGGGGGGCGACATACGTATCCATTTAAAGAAAAATCCCGGTCCTACAAGAAGAAAAATAAGGACAGGCTGAATCATGATTTATAGCACGCCAGGTTTTCGGTGTGGAGAGAATGATTGTTATGCGGGAGGTAGGGTGGCAGGATGATGAGCATTCAAATACATACGTACTTGTGCCTGTTTGCAGGCTGTTTGCAGATTATAATCCAAGCAAAACTTTGCCGTGTCATTTATCTGTTTCTTTTTAAAATCTGTAAAAGAAAAGAAAGCTACATTCTATTCTGCTGGTTTGTGTCAAGGCACCGTGGAACATCAGGGTTCAGTTGATTGTTTCGAAGCTGTACTTCGGAAGTGCGCAGATGGTGGGGAAAAGTGCATTAATGTATTAATATGCCAGTTAGCTCAAGGCAAATAACTAGCCCACTCAGTCTTATAAGGGATCAAGTTGGAACGAGCTTCATAGTGAACACTGGAGAATCTCCATGAGCTCAAGCTTTCTTGCTCAAGGGGTGAATCCCGTTGCAGCATTCAAGTCTCCTTTGTGCTTGATTGGGGCTGCCACTCAGGAGTATACAGTAGGACCCTCGTATTTGCAAGGCATAGATTCCAAGTTCCGCTGCGGATGCCGAAAAATGTGGATTATAGCAAACGCTATTATAATAGCAAACATTATGCATAGCATGATCTCTGGCTCCCTCCAGTGGCTAAAAATGTGGATTATAGCAAACGCTATGCATAGCATGATCTCTGGCTCTCTCCAGTGGCCGGTTCTGGTAACTTCATCCTTATAAATATATATTTTGGGGATTTTTCTTTTAATATTTTGAATAGTTTCAGACCATGGATAAGTGAATCAGCGGATAGTGATCCCGTGGATAAGGGGGTCCTCCGGTATAAATTATTCTCCCCAATGTTATCTCTTGGTTCTGACGCCATCTACGATATTCTAATGAGCACTGTTTTTCTCCCCAACATCAGGATCTTCTGAAACATACCCCAGAGGAGCACCCTGACCACCCGTTCTTAATGGAAGCCCAGAGGAACATCAAGCAAGTGGCGGAGAGAATCAACAAAGGAATGAAAAGTGCAGAGGAAGTGGAGAGGAACGCCCGGATTGTGCAGGAGATTGAGTCTCACATTGAGGGGATGGAGGATGTAGGTTGGCCGCATGGTGCTCCGCTGACGTTTGTGTGCATGTAGGCATGTGTGTTCGGGAGGATGTAGGTTGGCCGCATGGTGCTCCACTGACGTTTGTAGGCATGTGTGTTCAGGACTTGTGGGGGGCGGAGGTAGAATCCTGCTAAACCACAGTCTTGTTGAGATAGGTGCATCAAGACCACCAGCCCAGAGTGTGAAAACAAGACATGGGCTCAAAGACATCAAGACCACCAGCCCAGAGTGTGAAAACATGGGCTCAAAACCTGTTGCTTTTTTATATAGACTGTAGGGAAAGAGATCCCCTTCACAGACTGCTGCCTTGTTGTGGCGAAAGGGCTTGAGTAATTTCAGAGAAGCTATGAGCTATGCCCTTAAGAAAGTGGATGGGCCAAAGCCGAAAGGACACTCAGCTGCGGATGCGCCTGGAAGTGAAAGGAAAGTCCGATGCTGCAAAGAAAAATACTGCATAGGAATTTGACCCAACTCCGGGAGGCAGTGGAAAGACAGGAGGGCCTGGTGTGCTCTGGTCCATGGGGTCACGGAGAGTCAGACACGACTTAACAACTAAACAACAAACAAGGGAAAGAGAACAATTTGGGGCATGGCAGGGTGGCTAGAGGGCTTTAGGGGTGCTGGGGGGATTGCCCCTCAAAGGTTGCATGTTATGTACCCCTGGGATATAAATATCTTCATAGTCCACTTTTGCGGCTAGAAAGCTCAGGATGGAGAAATCAAGGAGGTCATACAGTTCAGTTACACTGCAAGTGGTTTTGGAATGAGCGTTACAATCACCACTGAGCATTTGAAGACATCAAATAGGACCCCTGTATCCACGGGGGAAATTCGTTTCCAGGCCCCCCCCCCCAGATGCTTGAAGATGCAGATTATAGCACAACTATTTTAATAGCAAATGCATGGTCTCTGGATCCCTCTAGAGGCCAGTTCTGGTAACTTCATCTTTAGAAATGTGTATTTCTCACATTTTTGTTTTAATATTTAAAAGATTTTGAGATTGTGGATAAGTGAATCAGCAGATACTGGTAAGGGAGTCCTACTGTACCTCTAACGTCTCCAATTTTCTTAATACTTCCAGCTCCAGGCCCCGCTGCGCAAGTTCTTACGCCAGGAGATGGTAGTGGAAGTGGTAAGAGCTATTTTGCGCTATTCGAACTGACAGAGAGCTGGCATCTCTAGGCACAGATTAATCATGACTGATTAATAGGACTGATTCATTGGCAAATCTAAAATTAAAAGACACAAAAGTGACTGATCCCTACCGAGTGCCCGTTAAGTCTTCCTTTCACAGATGCAATGAGAATAGGTTTCCCTTTCTGCTTGTCTTTCGTGAAGAAAACACCACTGTGGAGGTAACATTTCCAGTCTTTTAACTATGGAAACGAGATTGCGGGAGAAATGTGTAATTATACATTCCCTTTCTGAGTCCTGTTAGCTCCCAGTTTAATTTTGCTACACCCTGTCTGCCTCTAGGTACAAATTAGGTTTGTCTTAATTCTTTCATCCCTAATTTCCAAGTAAGACGTTGGGTTGATGACCCAACTACTCTCTTATAACTCGGTAGTGACTTTAGCTTTAACCATGGTTAAGGCCAGTACAGATCTAACATTTAATCATGGTTAAAGCTATTGAGGGGATGTGTGTGTGTGTGTTTGTGTGTGTGTCTGTGTGTGTGTACACGTACACCCATCCCCTCAATAGCTTTAACCATGATTATATATATATATATAAAGCCAGGGAGATGTCTTGCCGTGTTGACCGTTACTCTGTGCTAAATAAAACAAAGTCTGCAATCTTTGTCCGTTTGGACTAAGCTGCACCGTTTCTCCTATCTTGCATGATATATTCTGCAGCTCTTAAAATTATACTGTATAATTTTCATTTTTCCTCTGAAATTTTAGTTATCAATATACAGTTAAAGTTTTCATTGAATGGTAAATGTAGAATTAAAGTCGTTGAATGGTAAATTTATAATTACAGTTTTTATTCAATAGTAAATGTAATGTAATTGTAAATACCTAGATAAAACCGCCCAGAGTAGACCCATTCTAGATGGGCGGTCTGTAAATCTAATAAATAATAATTACGGCGGATTGCCCGGCTGCGGCCCTATCTTGACACGGGGGCGCTCACTACCTTGGTGCATGCGCTCGTAATCTCAAGATTAGACCACTGTAACGCACTCTACGTGGGGCTACCTTTGAGGCTGATGCAGAAACTTCAGGTGGTGCAGAACGCAGCGGCCAGACTCCTTACGGGAGTGAGAAAATACCAGCACATTTCTCCTACGCTGGCCATGCTGCATTGACTGCCTATTCGTTTCCGCATCAACTTTAAAGTTCTAATGCTCACTTAAAAGGCCCTAAACGGTTTAGGGCCTCGATATTTGGCGGAACGCCTCCTCCCACCAAGATCTACCCAGATCACCCGCGTGAGGCAGGAGGTGAGGCTGAGGAGCCTAACGCCGAGAGAGGCCTGGAGGGAAAGAACTAGAAACCGGGCCTTCTCGGTGGTGGCTCCTCGCCTCTGGAATAACCTCTGGAATGCAGCAGCCAGGCTTATTAGTGGGGTGAGAAAATATCAGCACATCTCCCCCACTCTGGCTGCGCTGCACTGGTTACCTATTCGTTTCCGCATTACACCTACAAATTCTGGAACAGGGATAGGTGTAGGAACACTAAAGGTATGTGAGAGAGTGCTGGTTCACTTTAGCAAATATGTCTTCTGATCACTGGCAAAAAATCGTTGACCACCCCATCCCAGCAGTGGATCAGGGAGTGGGCTAAATGCCCATGTAGTCACCCTCTCTTTTCTTAAGACTTCCTTTTACACAATAGTTCATTGTCATAAATATGAAAAAAAAATGATATTTAGGAGACTCAAGATACCTGTTGCACCCTACTGTAGGCAGCTCATGACCAGAGGAACACTTGCAGGAGGGGGGAAGACCACCTTCATGCAGTTCAAGAGCCACCCTTATATGCTTTGTCTCTAGCTCCAGCTCCAAGGAATGTGGCAGAAAGCAAAAATTAATGCAACATTTGTTAGAAAACAAGCATATGTTTTGCAAGGGGACGTCACATGTTCTCCAATGGAAAGTTTTGATTGTTAAATTCTCATCAGATTTTGAATATCCAGTGCAATATCTTAATTTCTTACATTATCTTTTTAATCATTCTAATTTAGAAATTCCTGTACTGTCTACGAAGAACAGTGTTACAACAGGTTAGTACTGCTGTCCCCTTTCAAATTCTTCTACAGTTTTTCTTACCGGGAGTCAGTAATAGAAACAAATATTTAATTTTTTAATATTATATTGGAAGCCGCCTAGAGTGGTCTTTTAGGGCAGATGGGCGGGATATAAATAAATAAATAAATAAATAAATAAATAAATAAATAAATAAATAAATAAATAAATAAATAAATAAAGTTATTTAATTATGAATTGATAATTAAAGTTTTAATTCAACTGCGAATTTGTAATTCAAACATTTATTTGATTGCAGATTTATAATTAAAGCTTAAATTTCAACTGCAAATTCATAATTCACATTTTAATTTAATTATACATATTTTAATTATTTAAACACGAAAGTGATTTCTTTTAATATTAACATTTGTATTTTTTTAAAAAATCCCTATCCTTTTTTTCCCCCTCCTCCCTGGGGCAGTGAAATCTTGTATCTGAGCGGCTGGAAGTTTTTTTTACAGCCCACAAGAGATTCTGCCCCATTTGTCTGCTGCCAGGAACCCTCTGTCCTCAGACAAAGCCAAGAGCTGCAACTTCCAGGAAGCCGGATCCTGCATGCGATGCCACGTGCTGTGCTTCTTGAACGCTCTTGCACCGGGAAGGCATGCACATGGCGTTGCGCATGGCCTAACCCTTTGCGCACGGGGGGGAGAACCAGGCGTCCTCCCCCCTCCGCCCGTGTGGTCCTGGATGTTTTCAGACAAGCCACGTGCCCCCAAAACGTTCCAGCCACGTCCTGATCCTTGGAAAGAGCAAAAGGGATAAGAAATTGAAAGGGCTCTTCGCCCGGCGCATGCGCGCGCATGTATGTCAACAGATTTCCATGGTAACGAAGGAGCAGATGATGCGAAGTAATAGCCCTGTTTCACACAAAAAAAGCCTCCCAGGTCCTCTTTTGGTTCACGCTGCCTTGTCGTCTGGCCTTGAAGAGCCGCAGTTATTTGCCTTCTTTTTCCATATTTGCAACCTTACAGCCAAACGACAGGAAATTTCATTTGGCCAAACGGCCAGCGATGGCCGAGTGAAGGCACCGTGTATTCAGCCATCCTGGTCAAACAAGGCGAAACAGAGGATCACCCGCCTTCTATAGCTCACAAAAGTAGCCTTTATTTTGTATGCGGCTTTCCACGGTGGGGCTGCTACTTACAGCCCTCGCTAATTGGAGGCTACGGTTGGCCACTAACGAACAGAATCCCAGTTTTTAAGTCTCCCGTACTGTAGCGATTCCTCTCCGACTCAATTTACATGGATTTTTGTGGAATTAAGCGAGAATTAATTTGTTATGTGTATTTTTTTCCCCTGTATGCCCTCTGGTTGTTAGAAAGGTTTATTAGCTGAATCGTACCACTGAGTAAAGAGCCTGCCTGTTCAAACATGGATGTGCACAGACACGCTTCCGTCCTCAGTGGCTCAGAATAAAAATGAGACGTAATGGAAGAAATCTGTGATTTAAGCCTCTCTCTTGGGGGCAGGGGGGAGCCCAGGAATCGAACCAGAAGAGGGGAGGGGAGGGTGGACGGTGGTTTGCCTCTGGGAGAGACAAAATGTGCCGGGCATGGACCAGGCGTCACTAAAAATGAAAGGGAAAGGAAAATGAAATAAAGTGGGAGACTAAGTGAAAAGGGGTAGAATAAAGCTGGCCACCGTCTGGCTGCATTTTTATGCCCACGCAACGCATTTAGGGTGGATCTTGGAGGTGAATTCCCCTATGTTAAGAAAGTGACATAGACAATTATTTTTAACCCTTGCAAACACAACACCAGCTGATAAAACATGTGGCCTGTTCTGATGCCTGTGTTTCTTTCTCAGCCTTTCCCGTTGGCTCTGAAAGGCAGCTTTTCTTTATTAAATTGCCATGCTGTTTTATTTGGTGGGCTTTAGTTCGCTTGCAGCCCCTAATACCTGCGTCGAGGATTCTTCTCCACATTCCCCTGGCCAAACGGCGGCACCATTTGGGTTGTGCTAAGTGCTTCTGACGTTCTTTTTCTAACCCCCCTCCCCAAAAAATCTGTGAATTTACTGGTTTGGCAGCAGAAGTCCAAGCTTCCAGGGGAAATTTTGCCTTGTGAAATTGCATGCTTTTTTTAAAAAAAAACCTGCCAAATAAAGAATCCTGCTGTTTCTATTGGATGAAAGAGACCTGTCTGGGCCTAAAGATGGCACACACTTTTCCCAGTAAGAATGGGTACCCTGTCTCTTTTGGGTTTTGTGCCATCAGTAAAATCTTAGGGATTATTATTTGCTTAATATCTGTTTTAGCCTGCTGTTAGCCACCCAGAGCAGTGTTTCTGCACGAACGGGGCGGTCTATAAATTAAATAAATAAATAAATACCCGAATGGGCAAATTTGGGTTTTGTGCCATCAGTAAAATCTTAGTGTTTATTATTTGCTTGATATCCGTTTTAGCCTGCTGTTAGCCGCTCAGAGCAGTGTTTCTGCATGAACGGGGCGGTATATAAATTAAATAAATTAAATAAATACCCAAATGTGCAAAAAATAAGTCCCCTGACCTTTTCTGTCTCTCCCTTTGCAGAAAGCTGTGGGTGGGAAGAAGGACCGCTCGCTGTTCCTCTTCTCCGACCTGCTGGTTTGCACCACTCTGAAACGCAAGTCCGGATCCCTGCGCCGAAGTTCCATGAGCCTGTAAGTAAGGGGGCCAAACTCGAGGGGGGGGAGAGGGCTTGATGTTCCCCCCCCAGCTCTCCTGCCCTGCCCTTGCTTGATTTATTAGCTAGAAACAGCATGCGTCATCCGGACGTCCAACTGGTTTTGAGCAATTGCTTTTATTTGAGTTAACATTACAAGTCCCACTATATGAACACACGGCATTACCTTAAGACTGTTCTTCCAGCCGTCTGTGTTCCATAGCGGGGGGCCCAGATGGCTCGCGATATGGGCCAGGTCTGTTCTGTGGATTGTATTTCTAAAAGGAAAAAAATGGGGGGAGGCGGCAAGAAACGGCCAGTGTGGCTTCACAAAAAGCTCAGGA